TGCCTTGCATTGGGTGGCTCTTCTGAGACTTCTCTGCTGCCTTTAGCAGGGCCCACAGCTGCTGCGGAGGAACCGGCTGTCCCGACGGGAGGAGTACGGGCTGCAGGACCCGCTGCCGAGCGTGGAGAGGGCTGAACTCCCATATCCATACTGGGACCCATATGCCAGAGAGCCCCCATAACCGTAAAGGTTCCCAGAGCCATAGAGGCCCCCCAGCCCCAGGGAGCCCCCAAAGGCGGGGGCTCCGGACGAGCCCACCATGGCTTGCTGGGGGAAGGAGCTGAGGATGGGGCCGGGGAAGGTGACGACCACGGGGGGCGGCTGGATGAAGGCCGAGGAGTCGGCACGGCTCATTGCAGCTGTTAGCGACGGGCTGGGGGACGGCGACGCTGCTGGTGGTGGGGCACAGGTCGTAGCAAGACATTTCTTTGCAGGGATGAAGGCAATCCTGAAACACAGAGCACAGAGCTGCTTAAAAACAAAGCTTAAGATCTATTGGAACATCAGGCCAAAGTTTGGTGTGGGGTTGTTGGGGAACAGGCAAAATGAGCACCAGATGCATAAGCAAAATTGATGATGCTGTTCACAAACTTCCCTGTCGATCAGCGTTGCTCTGAGCTTCCCCATCCAGTAACCCCTGCACTTGTCACGTCTGAAATTCCTGCTTCTTTTTTTTTCCTTTAATTTGCATTCCCTCCCAGAGGAACAGTGTCTTGGCGGCACATTTTTACTTAAAACACCAGCGCTCGTCCCTGGTGAATGTGGTCATCCCTGAAAGCCAGGAGCTGCGGGAGCTACACCAGCGCTGATCTCCTCGTTACACCAAATGGGACAGCAGCAGGTTGTCTTGGGAGAGATGGGATGGAGGCAAGAACCCAGCACTGCTTTAACCACCCATTTCCTCCTCCTTTCCTCATCCCCGTTTCTTTTCAAGCTCTTTGGGGTAATATACTTCCAGTTGTTCCCTTTTAGTTCTGTGCTGTTTGAATCCCTGTGATCCCTCTGGTAAAGCCCCCAAAGCCTTTGAGCCTGAGGATAGACTCATATACTTGATGTAATAACTAAATACATGCGATAAAACATTTCTATTCAACTATTTCTTGGCATAGCAGTGTAATTTCACATAGAGTGTGGAGCAGGTTGTTAAAATGCAAGGAGCTGATTTCCTTCATCGGATCAGATCACACTTTACAAATTCCCATTTCAGCTCAATGTCTGGTCACAAAACCTTGGGGCTTAGCACTTTCTCAAGTAAAAAAGAGGAAATATTATTTTGTGCATAAGGTAACCCTGAAATACAGAGAATCCAATCACTGAACTCAGTGTACCTGAACAGCTAGCCTGGATCTGATTTACAAAGGGACATAAGCCAAACACAGTGGGTCAGACCACTGCTCTGCTTCCCTTTTTATTGCCTTCAGTCAAAATAACTAGGGCTTCAAACAAGCAGGATTTAGTTTTTACCTGTCCATAACAATTAAATACAAGCTAGGATTATTCTGCAATAAAATTCCCATGTGGGTAATGCTCCTTCTTCAGCCGGGTCATTAAACAGCTTAGGTTACGGCCACGTCTCTCTGATACAGCTATTAAGTGAAATAGTACAGGAGAATTCTGCATTTTAGAGCTTATGCCATCCTACATTTTCAATCTATTAACAGTACAGGAATGACCAAATATGAATTAAAGTTAAAAAAATGCCTCAAACCCTCGTCTTGACTCCTAAAGCCTACCAGTAACACAACTTGCCAACATACTAAAAAAAAAAAAAAAGGAGAGGAAAAGAAAGAGAATCAAAAAGCAGTCCTAAACCCACTAAGGTATTAGTAGTGAACAATATTTTAAGCCCCGTGCAAAGGCATTCTGGCATTTAGAAGGAAATGAAGTGGCATCGGACGTACCTGATGTAGAGGAGAGCAAGCAGGAGAAGGAGGTGGAATAGGTCTGCATCCCTGCACCTTTTATACCGTGCTTCCAATTGCCCGGGGGGGCTGAGGCACACTGTGCACATGAGGTCATCATCGCCAACCAGCCCAAATTTGAAGCACATATAACTTCCCAAAGTGATGAAACTGTTCTTGCTTGCTGTTTGCAAAATCACCCTAAATCTCTGAGGAGCGTGATATGCACATTCCAGCTCTCGGTTCTCTTTCATCTTGAAGCCTAATTGACCCGCTCCGATGCTGGTCTCATTCCACCCTGCTCACTGGCATTGCAGGAGGAATTAAACTGGTTCTATTTATTTAGCACTTCCTTCATTAGCTTCCCGTAATGATTTTAATCAGAGCTATAACCTGCTGTCGTATACATGTTTGTGTTTAAGTGCTTCAGATCTGGGCTCTCATCTAATCTACTCGCACATTTTGCAATGCAGTGTTCGGCGAGGTGGAAGGCACCTTCTGATCCCTTTGCCACCCACCACCACAAACCATGAGTGAGGTACCTACGGTAACCATGGACATTGTCTAATGGTCTTTGATTTAGAAATTCTCAATTTTCCTTGCTACTTGGCAAGACCAGTGGAAAATGTAGTATTTTGGTACCTGAAACAGTGTTTAAACCAACGGCTAAAGCTTCCTCTGAAGCGATATCAATTTTTTTTTTGCCTTATTTCTCTCCTGGAATCTGCAAAGGAGCTTAGAAGCGCCAAGTCCCTGCGGCTCCTGATGTACTGCAGTTATTTCTTAGAGGGAACAGGGATTATTCCTCTTTTTTACTGGGGTGGAAGGGCTACAAATGCAAGGGGGGATATGTATGAGCTGCTTGGGATGCCTGGAGCTTAAGTACGGCTGAGCAATGCCAGTGCTGTAGATTGAGCACTGTTCTGCTCAACCTGGAATCTGGAATCTGCAAAGATCCCAGGTTTGGCAGTGTAGGATGGCTGCAAATGCAAACAGCATTATAGTTACCAGCCCCTCTGTATCAACATTGCACAGCTTGAAAGGCGGACGTAACACAAGATGGTGGTGCTGCGGGTCCAAATTTCTCAGTTTCTTTGTGAAATTTTATGTTTCTGTCCACCCCTGCGTTCATTCAGCCTGTATCTTCTCTTTCTTTTTTGTTCATGTGGTGGGGTGTAGGTTGCCCTTCGATCTACTCCATCACCTCACTAAAGGAATCGAACCAAAGTTTCACTGGAGGATGCCACAGAAGCAATTTTTGAGTGTTTTCTTCCCAGATTTACTAGGTAAGCAGCAGGAAAATCAGTGGAATTATCTGAGGAACAATTATTGCACCAATGCTTTTTTTTGCAGAGCCCAAATTTGACAGCCCATATTTCAAGTGACTTGTCATTGGAAATTACTCAGGCTTCCCCCATACTTAGTGGGGAGGGACAAGAATTTCCGCAAGACAATTCATCCCGTCTCAGACGCTGACCTTACCAGAACTGCTATCACCCTCAAAACAGAACAATTTTCCTTTCATTGACTGTGGAGACAGACAACAAGCTCAGCTGAAACACCCAGCTTTTAACCAGGGATGGTTTGATGAGATGTGTCCCACCCATATTCTCAAATTCTGTGTCATGAACAGTGCTGGGCCCAGCCCCCACAACCCCTGTTTGCCTGTGGATCAGTTGGTTGTCAAATAATAAAAGCTGCAACGTTTCTACCAGAATTTATACCTAAATGATGGGGTGCTTTCTTTCCAGACTTCGAGATGGTCCTAGGGGATCACAGAAGCAATAACACTCACAAAGGTCGTTCAGAAATTTTGTGTGTGTGTGTTTTTTAAGCACTTCCCAACCCCCCCCTTAGTAAACTAGGCATGGAGTGGTGCATCGTTACTGTAACATAAGGATGTGGTTGGATTCAAGCAGCCCAGCATTTTGAAGTGTATTTATTAAATTGACCTGGTCAAGGATGCTCTTCCAGCTCATGATTTCCAACCATAGCATTTCAGTTGATTTTCTTTTCTAATTTAGGTTTTCTCTTTTTTAAGTTTGTGTATGAGCTTCTTCAGTGCTGATGTTATATTAATTCCCATCCCTTTCGGTGTCCGTAGCACAAAGATCTGCATCCTCCCCCTCCGTCCTTATGCTTTGAAAGATTTTCCTAGGACTTTCCTAGGCAGACTCTGAGCGGTCAAACTTTCTTCTGTGCTTTAAACACATGCTCAGCTTCTTAAAAAAATATATTTAACAAGCTGCCGGTGATGTGGCTGAGAAACTGGCTTACCTTTCTTGTGACCAATGGATTTACCTCCAAAATATGAAGAAACTGTAGACCTGGGTAGTGTGGGAGGCAAGGCACGGGTCTGGATGATTTTAAAAAGTCCTTCGCAACGTATCTTTTGATTTTTGCCCTGAAAAGTGCAGGATGGCCCCGTCCAAACCTTAATTCCAACTTCATATAAGAGTTGCTGATTTCACAAGAAAGGCACCGCGTTTTGTATCAATTATGCTTTATCTAGCATGGGTAAGGAAGGATGGAAAGAAAACCTGCGTATGAAAGCAGATGGCAATTATGATTAACGTTTGAGCCACCATCATTATGTCAACCAATAAAAGAAGAGACAAATAAATGAAGCCAGCATAATTCCTCCTGTCATTCTAATGTATTTAATGGAACGTTACCAGGAATGAATCTTGCCAATTAAGTGCAAAGATGAAAGAAATTTTTGGTTTGTAATTTGCATTTCATGCAGCGTGAGACTTTGCATCAACTAATAAAGCTGAATATTGAGCAAAACTGTTTCATCATTTTGAGGTGAACTATGTGTGATAAATGTGGGCTGGTGCTAATGGGAGTCGCAGGCTCTTCAGGCACTTTGAGGAAATACATAAAAAAACCTCCTGAAACTGCCGTGGATTTACTTCTCTTGCCTCCTTCCCAGAGCCAGCTATTTTCTAGGCATCAGACTGTTCTTATTCTGCAAATTTAAATTAGTCCTTGTCCATCATTCAGGAGGAGGCAACGTTAGATGCAGGTTATAAGGGCTAAGCTGGTATTTTCCAGAATGGATTGTACAGGAGCTGTCAGCTCTCCGTAGTTCAAATCCCAGGGCTATAATCTGCTGAACACATACCAAACCCCTGGCCTGCAGCCCTGCACACCTCTGTACTCCTGCACCGCGAAGGCCTCAGTCACAGCCATGTCCAATAAAGGACATTTCCTCCGTGTAGTTAATTACTTGGTCTTCCAGTCGCTGTTTTAAATTAGTTTTCATGGAAGAAAGCCAAAGCTTGGAAGGCATGTAAGCAAAGCTTCCTAATCACAGCAGAAAGAGCCTCCAGGATGTTGGGAATCAGGTGAGCCTTTGGACAGGTCACTCAGGTTATAGCAGATATAGGATATATCCTGCATGAGGACACACACACATATGTATATATATTGAGGCATAGCATCAGGATTTCTTAGCGCCCTCTACAACTGCCTGACAGGAGGCTGTAGTGAGGTGGGGGTCGGCCTCTTCTCCCTCATAACGGATGATGGGATGAGGGGAAATAGTCTGAAGTTATGCCAGGGCAGGTTTAGGTTGGACATTGGGAAAAATTCCTTCCCCAAAGGGCTGTCAGGCACTGGAAGGGGCTGCCCAGGGAAGGGGTCGAGTCCCCAGCCCTGGGGGGATTTAACAGCCGGGCAGAGGCGGTGCTGAGGGCCAGGGTTTGGGGGTGGGATGGCAGGGGTAGGGGAACGGTTGGGCTGGGGGAGCTGAAAGGGCTTTTCCAACCCAAACGATTCTGTGATTCTATTCCTGATCTAGTTAGCGGTGTCCCTGCTCATGCAGGGGGGTTGGACTAGATGACCTCTAGGGGTCCCTTCCAACCCAAAAAATTCTATGATTCTATGATTCTATGATTCTATGATTCTATGATTCTTACACTGCACTTCAGACGACATGGAACTGACTTTTATCAGAGACAAGGCATAGGATAAGAGCAACCATTTTTCTGAGGAATCTTGTGACCCTCTATATTCCTGTGTTTCCACTGAGCAATGAAAAGCCATCACTTTAAAATCGTTTTTCTCATGGGGCTTATATAAATTTGAGGAATTACATCCACAGCAGCAAGTAGAGCTTGGTAGGGTAGCTACAATTAGGTGGGATGGATCTGAAACTAAGTTAGTGTTGCAGAGGATCCAGACTGTTGTGCCTTTCCCATTTCCATGAGATCCAAGCTTTTTTTTCCCATTCCAGCAGAATTGGTGCTGTCTCACGCTAACACTCTTGTTTCCAGTTGGCCAATTCACGTCCAGTGTCAGTGCCAATAGCTGCAATGAGATGACTGTCCCGACCTGGGGGGATGGCTCAGCCCTCATCCCCTGTCACGACCTCGCCAGCCCAGATGCTCAGCTCCTCCATGACAGTGTAGCGGCATCTCTGTTAGCACTCATGCCTCAGAGCTCCTTTCATTGCAGGAATGGGAGCCTTCCTTATGATATCCTTTACCGCAACAGATTTTCTTACAGATTTTCAGGTCCTGGCAGCAAGCAGAACATCACTTCTGGCTGTTGTTTCGCTACTGGATGCCACTGGGGAAGCTGTGAGTCCTGCTGGAAGAGTGTTGTGGTTTAACCGTATCCAATTCACCTGAGAAAACTAAATAAAACCAAATAAAAGGCAGTATTTTTATTTGCGTTTAATATTTACACAAATTCCATTTATATTTAATATATACATAACTTAAACAGAACCAAAGAAGTCCCAAGCCTGGGAACTCAATCTGATACACCATGAAATTATTCACAAGGTCCTTACTGAGGTTTTGAAGAAGCATCATCTGCACACAGCCGGAATTCTGGAGGGTGAGAAAGTTTAATGGCACAGATCTAGGCTGGTCTGTGCTGGGGAAACACAGAATCTGAAATTCATTTAACCCCAGTCCCCAGTTTCCATTAAGAGCTGTGGTGGTGAAACTATTTGCACAACATTGGATTAGAGCTCTGCAGTGGCATAAGCGAGCGCTTAACTTTCAGAGTGTGAGCGGTCACTCGTAGTTCAAAGAATTGTCTCACAAACTCGCGAATGGGGATACCCCTAAAGTAACATGTAGGGAAGGCTGGTGTTCACCTACTGACAGCTTGTTGTGACCACGTTGGTGCAATTTGGTGGTGAAACAGGCCTAGGAAGGGCACTTCATGGAGACTTTCACTATGTGAAATATATGCACAGGATTATCGCGGCCATATGTACAACAGGCAGCTTTATCCAGAAGAGCTGGCAAATTCGGCATGGGTGGGAACACAAAACCACAGCACGCTTCTGTTAAATGATGCAACAGAATTTTATTGAGAATGAAAAGAACAAAAATATATTGCAGTATCGAGAATGTATATCCAAGATGTGGGAGTCGCATGCATTGTGAAAGACAGTGTTAAACGTCTCACTGCACTCAGCCACAAGCACGGTAAAGTAGAAGGCAGCAAGGAACTGGACCCCTGAAGATATCAGGAAAGAATTCAGAGGGAAAAAAAAGGGTGGTGCGGAGCATGCAGAAGGTGCAGCAGTGAACAGGATTTGTGAGTGCTTTCACAAAGCTGTCACTCGTCTGCTCCCTGGAGAATCTGGACTGGGTTTTCACTTGTACATTATTCAGTGGATTTTCCTGGTGTGTTTAGCAGGGCCAGCAGCTGCCACGGTTGTACCTGTTGTTCCAGTAGGAGTAAGGGCTGCAAGAGCCAGAACCATAGGATCTACCATAGCCGTACAGACCCCCCCAGCCCAGGGAGCCATAGCCCCCATAGCCGTACCGACCCCCCCAGCCCAGGGAGCCGTAAACCCAA